AGGACTCAGTTGTGGTCAGAGGACTCAGTTGTGGTCAGAGGACTCAGTTGTGGTCAGAGGACTCAGTTGTGGTCAGAGGACTCAGTTGTGGTCAGGGGACTCAGTTGTGGTCAGGGGACTCAGCTGAACAGAGATGACTCAGCCTCTGACTTGCTGAGATCTGTTTATGTGCTAATCTTATGGTAAGAAGGTCTGATTCCATCTGGAAGCAGAAAATCCTCAGCGGGTGAGTGAGCTCATGGATTTGTTTGGAATATAAATCTGTTCTCTCACCAGTCCCAGTCTCAAACTGGAACCGTGTTCTTGTTTGTCTTCAACAATCAGTGAATCTTTAAGCAGTTATAATCTGCCTTGTAAACAGTTATAATCTGCCTTGTAAAGATTTGCCTTCGATCCTACAGTTAAAAACAGACTTTTTTAACTCAGTTTTTGTTCAGATGATTCAACCGTTAATGAAATAAGAAACATTCACATCTTAGCTGGATTAAAGCGAAGTCATCCAGTCGCACATTGATCTGATTTCCATTAACGACTCTTCTGTTTCAGTCAGATATGAAAGTAAAGGTGATGGAAAAGAGAAACGTTTGATGAAAGAGACAGAAAATATTTTTGCCTTTCACCTCAACTCTGAGTAAAACTGGATGAAAAAATGAAAGAAGTCACATTCACAAATACATTAAAAGAAAATTTGATCTAAAAATGTTCTGCAGGTTCTGTTGACCCAAAACCGTAACGACTCCATCAGCTGCTGGATCCATAACACTCTGCTTCCTGCTGAGTACAGCACAACTCTGAGTATGTGAGTGCACAACTCTGAGTATAGGAGAGTACAACTCTGAGTACAGGAGAGTACAACTCTGAGTACATGAGAGTATAACTGAGTACAGGAAAGTACAAATCTGAGTAGAGGAGAGTACAACTGAGTACAGGAGAGTACAACTCTGAGTACAGGAGTACAACTCTGAGTACAGGAGAGTACAACTCTGAGTACAGGAGTACAACTCTGAGTACAGGAGAGTACAACTCTGAGTACAGGAGAGTACAACTCTGAGTAGAGGAGAGTACAACTCTGAGTAGAGGAGAGTACAACTCTGAGTAGAGGAGAGTACAACTCTGAGTAG